GCCTTACACCACTGCTCCCTTCCAATGAGCAGAAATCCTGATTCCTAGTTCCATGTAAAAAACTTTATAGGTATGATATTTATGATATTTTATGAATCATTTGGAATACTAAAGATGACATGTTAAAGTTCTACTTAAATTTTTTTTCTTACTTGGTTGAAGATTGGAAGTTCATTGGTGCCCTTTACTCTTGTAGATGTGTGTTGAATTCAGCTGCATTGAAACTTCCAAATTATTAAATATCCACTTTGCTTTCTTTTATTGGTCCCAAAATTAATTGCATGTCTATCAATATAATTGCATGAAATTTTAACTGAATACTTAGATTTTTGAATTTGATGTTTAGACAACATTTCAAAGACTTTAAGCTTCAAGAAGAAAAATGCTGTGTTGATTCAGACGACTGCTACCTATCCTTGTAAGTCCTTGAAAGGAGGGCTAAGCAATTTTTGAGAACATGTTGCTTGTGAGTGTTTTATAAAAATGTGCCCCTTGGTGAATTAAGTGTCAAATCAATCTCTTGCTTCTCCAGTGCAGTGTGAATATTGCATTCCTTTTCGCCAAAGTGAACCTGCATCTCATTCCATTTAGCATGTTCTGAGTTATTGCTAGGGTTTTATGCTTCTTGGATTATAGCCCCTCCATGCAGGCTTACTCATGGGATCACAATGGATTCTACTCCCCTGACCTTACCCAGGGGAATAGCTGGCTGGTATTAAAACAGTTCCATGTTTGGATCAACTTGTATTCTCTTTTATTCACCAGCTTTGCTTCATGAAAATGCTTTACAACCAACTACTGAAAATTATTTTCAACAAATATTGTTTAAAACGTTTTTAGTTGACATAACTTATTCATGTTGTTTTTTTTTATTTGAAACTGTTGATAAAGTGCAAAAGTCACTCAAAGTCTTGCTACTGCTTTTGGAATTATATAAAACAAAAGGTGATCCTCTGTGCATGGGTTCACCCTTCCTCACAAATAATTGTTCTTAATTCAATGCATATCCTCCTCGAAGCAGTCCTAATTTACAGTCTCTAGTATAGAAATAGATTTACATAGCACAACATAGTTATAAGAATTTCACTTTAAGTGGCCATCTGCTTGTGTATGCATATCCATACATTATGAAATTAAATCACAGCACATATATCTGTTTGCAAATTTGTTTCTCCGTAAGATAATTTCATCCATCACACATGTATTTGTATGCTTCTTTTAAAATAGTTTCATGTAGTTCTGTTGTATTTAGCTATGCTATATTATGCAATAAGCCCTCTGCTGACACATACTTATTTCTTTTTCTCTATCAGTCAGTGTTACAATAACTATATTTGCCCATGTGTTTCAGATACTAATGCTATTAATGTCTAGATAAAAGGGCATATATGCAACGTGCCACTTGATGTTCATAAATATTTTTAAAAGAGATGTAGTATTATGCTATTTATGATTGGTTTTGCAATTTATATAGGGAAGCATTCTTTAAAACAATTGATTATATCTTAACTGAATCAGTTAAGTGATACTGCTATACAGGCAACCCCATAAATAGTTTATGTCACTTAGTATCTCTAATGTGTGTGTTTGTGTGTCTGAATAAATGTGTATAAATGCAAGAATGTTGATTATATATCTACCCAAATTCAAGTTAGGTCTGCAATATACAGATGTATTTTTGAAATTACATGTATGTAGTCTTTGGTTGATAGAGTAATGGAATGATTTTCTTATGCAGCCACAAAATCCCTGGATCTGAAGAAAACTAGTAACATTAATAGAAATAGGACCTTACCGACACACTTAAAAGATTAGTTCATTTTTATAGTCATTCTTGTAAATGATCTCGACAATCTGCATCATTTGCTTGCTTGATTCATTGCTTCACAGTGACTAGAAGAAACAACTAGTCCATAATCTTAACTAACAGTTGTTTTCCCTTGATCTTTTGCTCTTTGGGGCAAGACACTATGTAGCTCACATCACTCAAATACTTAACACATTCTTTCATATCACACTGAATCATATTCTATGGCATCACAAAGTGTCATGGAAACTGATTATATCCTATTAAAGAAATAAAAAAACCATTGGGAACATTCACTGTGGGGCTGAGGGAGATTTCCTGGTTGTTAGTAGGAATGTCTGCCCAGGTTTACATCCTTCTTTGAGTAACTTTTATCTCAAGTGCAACAATGCACAGTGTAAATAATACCTCTCAATTCAAATAGCACAGTTAAGGCAAGAATTATCTTTATATAGAAAGCAAATAGGATAGTTTAGAAAGACTATAGAATTTATTTATCTATCATAGTACTGTTAGGCCCAGAAGCTTTAGTCTTTTTTAAATTTCACAGAGCTTGAACTTGTAATCTTCCTCATCTCAGCCTCCAAGAGTGTTAGGATAGCATCATACGCTTTCATTTCTCTTTTCTAAGCCTCATTGTGTCCTTCTTAAAAAAAAAAATTACCGTTTTAATTCACGTACTACAAAATTTGCCCTACTCTTTTATTTATTTACTTTTGTGATATGCAATGACTACATTCATCTTGGATACTTGATAGTTATACATATCACACCTTGGTCATTTGTTAACCACTTATCCATGGCAGGGGCCAAGTATTTAACTGACATCCACAAGTTAAAGGGAAAAAGGGTTATTTTTGCTGCTGGTTTTGGGACAGTTCAGTCCATTCTCAGCTAACTCCAAATAGAAATAGAAGGAGGACAGAGGACAGCTGCTTATCCCATGGCAGCCAGGAAATAGGCAGAAGGGAGAGAAGACAGGGGGACAAGATTGTACCCTTTCAGGTCCTGACTCCAGTGACCCATATCTAATCAGGACCTACCTCTTATAGGAAGTTCACCTTGAGCTTATCAGTGGACCAATCAACCTACAAATATAGCCAATCCCAAGATCCAATCAGTTTCCAAACACCAAAGACATCTTAGATCTATGCTGTAACAACCTATTTTCAAGCATCAAAGATTTGATCTCATTATGAAAATGCATTTAACTCCTCTCTAAAAATTGCCAAAATCAACAGTTCTTGCATTGCTGAAAAGCTCAAGTCCAAAGTTTCCTCTAAGACTCAAAGGAAATTCTTAGCTATAAGCATCTGATTTAAAAAGAAAAGTTTAAAAAATTACCTACAGTAGCACAGAGTAAACACTCCTATTCCAAAAAGAGGAGAGTAGAAAGGAGTTGGACCAAATGTCTGAGTCACTTTCCTCACTGCTGAGACACAGCATCCAACACCTGAAGCTTAAAGGATGATTTATTTTGGCTCAGCTTGTAGTTTCAGATGGCTTAGCCCATATTTGGCAGGTTCAAACACAGAGAATGGCATGGTAGAAGAGTCTGCTGTGGACAAGCTACTTGTGTCACAGCAGCCAGGGGGCAGAGAGAAGGGCGGAGCCTGGATGGGAGGTGCACTTCCAGGTCAAGGCACCAGTGACCAGCTTCCTTCAGCCAGGCTCCACCTTAAGGGCACATTGTCCGTGAAGCCGTTGTTGAACCAAACCACCCATAAGTAATGTGGCCCCATGATCTAGTCAGTTTCCACAAGCTCTGCCTGCCTCTGAGCCCATGAGGTTTTGGGGGAACATCTGGATTGAAATCATCAACACCAAAGCAGCACAGAAACCCCACAGGGCCAGCAATAAACACACTCACTCTATATCCAGCACCGTGGCAGGGTGCTGTGAAATGTGTCCTCCATAGTTATACCCTTTGTGGCCTCTGTCTTGTCTTGATTCACTCACTGCCATGATTTTCCTCTCAGATGTTCCATGTTTGTGGCACTACCATTTCCCAAGATATCAATTGCACTTTCAGCTTCATTCTTACAGTTTCACGTATGTCCCTCTCGGGCAGTTTCTGGCCACCCAGACTTTTCTCTGAAATATGAGTGGAAGCCTTCTTGACCCCAAAATTTTTGCATTCTAGCTGGGAAAATAGCTCAGTGGTAAAGCACTTACTAGTGTATTCTGAGTTCCCAGGACTACTACAAAAATGAATGAATGAATGAATGAATAAATAAATAAATAAATAAATAAATATTTTAAAGGGCCAGAATACAGAAGTCCACAAAGCCTGGACTTTAGCTCTAGTTCTGATACAGTTGAAGGTCTAGATCAGCCATAAAATGTTATTTTTAAAAAAAATTTAGTATCTCCTTCTTAGTATCAGTAAAGATGTGATGTTTGATAATTCTGCTGCTGTATTTGATTTCATAATAATTGTATAATTTTATTTTTAAAAATGTTTTATTTTAAAGAAAATAAACAAAACAAAGCAAAACAAAACAGAACAAAGCAGAGCAGAGTAAAACAATGCAAATAACACAGGATTTCAGAACAAGACAATAGGAAATCAATAGTGGCTACCATGTCTCTTGTTTTCTGTGAAATGGTTGTCCATACCTTCATACACAATAAGTTAATCCAAATCAAAATAGTATAAAAGCAATCAAAACAAAAGAATGAGGATCTTAACAGCTTTCAACTTTAATGATATATGCTTCTATATAATCATAAGAATATAGATTGAATATATATGAATATCTATCAGCATAAATATGAATAGAAAATAATTTTCATGCACTGTGGTCTTTTGAGAAATAAATTAATAAACACATTGTGGAAAATACTGATAGAATACTTAGACAACAGAGAAAGCAAAAAGAAATAATAGAAGATAAATGCTAAAAGTGATCTTAGGAAAAAAGACCTGTTTCTATTAAGTCATGCAAGTATAAACTATTATAGTTAAGTACTGTGATGCAATAGTATGTTTTTGCAGGTACAGATTTTTGTGACCTTCTAATGCTGGGCAAGTTTCATTAGGTTACATTTCCTTTCTGCAGTTCTTCACAAGCCTGCTTATTGGCATGAGGTCATTCTGAAGCCTTTGTTGCAAGCAAAAATGTGTTTTTATGTGTCACTATGATGCTCTTTGCCAAGTACCACAGTAGAGTGAGATATCCTTGTGTTTCAGAGTCTGCCACTGAAGAAGATTCCATGCAAAACAAGCGCACCCTCAGGCTCCTTTTTCGCCCGAGATAATACAGCAAATTTCCTATCCTGGTGCCGAGATTTAGGAGTGGATGAAACCTGTCTGTTTGAATCTGAAGGTTTGGGTATGTATTTCCTTCAGAATTTTAGCTGATAAAATATTTAAATTGTCTTTCTTTAGGTAAGGTCATCAAACGTTTTTTTAGAAGATATCATTTCACAGATCATTATTGTTAAAATGAAGTTTGTTAAAATGAGTTTGTTTAATGCAAAGATGCAGATCCACTGTAAACTTGGTGCATTGAACAGCAAAACAGAATAGCACCATCTTTTCCAAGCTAAAAATGAGACCCATCATGCAAACTGGACGATGTTTGGAAAATGTAGGAGTAAATTTTATTATGAGACACTAATCTGAGTTAGAAGGGCAGTGTTTTTATGTTCCAGCGCTGGTAACACTCTGTCTTTTTACCTCTGCAAAGTAAGAAAGCTCTCTGTCTCCGCCCATCTGTGTTATCTCTACTGAAACTGAAGTTTGTTAGTGTAAATCTTTACCTATTATTCTGGAGATTTAGAAATCAGACATGCAAAGAAGATATTTAAATATCTGAAGATGATAAAGCAAAAGACAGATAGTTTAGTTCCTAGGCTTAAGGAGTATCGCGTTTTATTTTGTTTTCTGATTGAATTTTAAGGAAATTTTGGTTTCTTTTGCCTGGTGCTTTAAAAAAATCAATTTACAGAATCCCACAGTACCATTAAGGGAAGCCAAACCCTTCAGACTGAATAAGTTTGCACATTCATTGCCTTCCAAACAATTAATTATCTGTGGCCCCCTAGCTTCACAAAGCAGTATTTCTCCTGGTAAATTTAGGAGACTGGTGGTAGCTGCTGAAATCTTACTCATTTTTATATGCTTCAAATGATTTCTTCTGAGAGGAAGTGATGTGCTTTGGGAAAGCTGGTGTTAAATATGAAAAATCCCCTCAGCACAGATGAGAACAACATTAACTGAGACAGAAAGAACATCCCAGACCTGAAGGAAACCATGAACCAGAATCTTTGCATGCAACTATAGTGTATTATCCCACAGTGAGCACCTTGGATGTGAGAGAAGAGACTTTGCTGATTACCTTGTCCTTGTGTCAAAGTAAAAGGAATTTGGTAGAAGATGTGTGTGCTACCTCACTTTTGTTAGACTAGTGATAATTTTTCAAATAGATTTTAGCTTTCTGATTTGTAGCAAATGGTATAAGGGGGGAATTATGGACAGGAGTGTAAAGTAATTATTTGCAATCAAAACCCTGGAGAGATCTCTTAAACACACACTCATATGCACAAACACACACACACACAAATACACACATTTTTTTTGTAACAAAGTCTTAGTCACAAAGCAGACATTCTATACACGAAATCTGGAGGCGTGGAAAATTTATGTCATGGCTTAAAATTCTGGAGTGCCCTTGTGTTGCCAAAAAACTGTCACATGAGGGAAACTTCATTATTAATATGTTATTAGTTGGTTCATTGTACAACTTTTCATTAAGGAAGCATTTTTCATAAACCGTTACAAGCCAAGTGTTACGAAGAGCTCGATTTTCTCACAATCCGCCAGTTACTGTGTTACTTGAACTAATGCAACTTTCAGAGAGAATCCAGGAAGAATCTAATCCAGGAAGAAGTAAATTTTCTCTACTAGAAATATCGCTCTAGCTCAAGGTCCTACATTTATTCACATTAATTCCCCTGATGATTTACAAACCCAATTCAAGTAATAAGTAATACATTTACCCTCAAACTGTGAAACCTAAAACGATTTATGTGATTATTTGGTACATGAATGTATAATTTTTAATATAAATAATTAGGTCAAGAATTTTGAGATTCTCACTTAATTCACTGTTATAAAAATAAGCTGCCACTATAAAAAGTCCATGATAATTTATACATAAAGCTATTAAATGCTTATTAAAATTATTTGATTTTTAGTTACCTTCTAAAGTAAGCTTTTTTAAGAAAAAAAAATCTAGATTTGTTAAATTTTTTTTAACCTGGTACCAGGAATTGAACTTATGATTTTGCACTTGCCAGGCAGGCACTGTACCCCTGAGCTGTATCCCTGGCCCCTAAACTGGGCTCTTACTATGCAATTAAGATGCATTTAAATATCCAAGGAAGCTTGTGGAAAACAAATGTTCAAGGTTTTTAAAATTTAAAAAAGAAACCTCTTTAATCTTCTTTCAGTATGCTGCCTCATTACAGGATAAACCTGAGATAGGACACGAGGTGACCAGGCTTTAGGGACAGAGAGAAAGAGGCGACTATTGTGACACTGGCTTTAGGATGAGACACAAAGAGGACACACCTGTGCCCCTGTGTGCGCAGGGTAATCCAGAGAAAAGACAAGGAGAAATTCCATTTCCTCAAGTGGAAGCCTTTCCCCGTGGATGATTCTCCCTATTCACGGTGGCTGAGGGCGGGATGGAGCTGCTGGCCTTGGACTCTGCCCTCACTGCATTGACTTTCCTGCCACAGTAACGCTGTGTGCTCTGCTTGAGGTCTTTTCACACTTCACTTCTGAAAGCGAATTTAGGGCAAGGGCTTTCTTTTTTTTTTCCTTTTTCTTCCTACCTCAAGATTTCATTTCAGTGGCCCACGGGCTGAAGAGCACCCTTTGTGTGTGCCTGTTTTTAGCAGAGCATAGAGTGAAAAGATGCCCCGATGAAAGGGGAAAGTGTGTCTGAAAGATAAAGAGATCGCTGCCCTGAGTGTGTGTGAAGAGGCTGCTGTGTTTTTGCAGTTCAAAGTCTTTGCCTGCATAAAGCATCCTTATCTCTGTGGCAGTTGATATTCTACCCTCAGGAGCCATGCTTTTCTGCACAATTGCGTGTCAGAGGATCTTGAGTCACAACTTACTCCGACCTATTTTCTTTCCAAAACAGCTAATGACAAGAAACCCCTCAGAGTAGAGCAAGGTGAGATGGGGATGAATGGGCTGTGCACAGCTCACCTGTCCCCTGCCTCCTGTCCTGTTGACTCTTGGCAGATAACCCACGGTGCCACCTACGGTTGCATCCAGGTCTTTATCTGAAATGAATCTTGTGTGACATTTTTTGAGAGGTATTTCTTACTCCATGAAATGTCAGTCCTTAACTCCTAAATTAACCATATCCAAATAAATGAGGTAATTGAACCTTTATCAAAAGTCATGAAGAGCCTGGTTATAAAAGATGAAAATCCAACTAAAGTGTCAAGACATTGGGCAATTTCACTACCTGCCAGTATAAATAAAGACTTTGAAAAATTAGCAAAATAAAACCATTACTTTTATAAAGTGTTGGCAAATAGAGAAGAGAACTATGTCTTCTGTGCCTGTACTGCCAAACAAAAGTGGTGCTTGGTAGTCTTGCTTTAAAGGGTTATTTGACATTGTACATTAAGTTCCTCAGAAATGCTCATGTACTATTTCTAAAAGCTCATCTCAAGGACACTAGAAGAAACAGGTGCCAGAATGTCCATTGAAACACACACACACACACACACACACACACACACACACACACACACACAAACCCACACAGTTTCTCTTGGGTGGGAGCTTAAACAAACTACAGTGATCCATAGATACCAACCAGAAATAGTATTCTTGAAACCACTGAAATGCAATCTTGAGAAAAACAGGATGTACTGGGAACATGAGATCATACTTTTATATCTAGTAATTGAAAATAAAAATCTGTATTCAGTTTTAAAAGGAAAATAAACTGAATCTGTTGTAAGTGACATTTTTTTCATTTGTCTATTGGAAAACTTTAGGAAGCAAAGAGTTATGGAGTGTAGTCTGAAACACGAACAGTTAACTTATATTAAGATGTTATTAGCTCAATTTATATAGGTAATTCTTTACTGACATGTTTATTGACAATATATTTTCACACTGAGAAAGTAACAGATTTTGCATATTCTGTGGAGCATCTTCTAATTCTATGGCATATGCTAGAGGTGTTAGTCATCATGACCCCTATCATTCAGACCATGCTGAAATTCAAATCAATCTCCTTCTTTTAAATCATTCTTAATAAAGACTAATATTTGGTTACATTAGAGGACCCTAAAATATTTAAGATTGTATGATACATTAAAATTATCATTCATATTTTCTTGAGTTTAAAAGTAGATAATTTATCATTCTAAAAACAAAATAATCTCCAAATAATTGTTTTGAAACACAGACTTTTAGTTGTGAAGTAAAAAATGGAAATGTTTAGAAGGCACTTGGTGGGAAAGCATTTCTATTTTTAGTTTTTGTTACATGTGAAAGATACTAGGTTATACTGATTTGTAATCTTCCTGACATAAATTTAACATTTTAAAATATTAATTTAAATATGTAACCACCTTTCTGGGGCATATATAAAATGGCTCAGTTTTACTGCTTTTAAGATCAGAAACTTATAACATTGTCATTTTAAGAATACTTTTAAATTAAGGTATAAAATAGACACACATGTTCTTTTTTCTAATATTTTAACCTATAGACCATTTTTATGAGATTTATATGTAATTTACATTTGCACACCAATACATCAATTGTCTAGTTGATTTTTTCCAGGTGCTTCTTTATTTTTCCTGATCTGTGCCCATGCTGACCTCTGGGAGGTGGCACGGAGAGCAATGGGGAGGGAAATGCTATTCTGTTTGCTGTAACTGTGTCAATATCATGATGTTGTTGGATGCTTATAGGATTTGGAAGCCTGTGACTATCCTTCACCTATTTCTCTGAGAAAGACTCTGCTCAGCAAGAAAAGGGTTTGCTCTCTGCTGTGTAGCATGCAAATGTGTGTGATTTGTTTGAATGTGACTTTCACGTGTCTGCTGTCTTTTTTTGATGCACTGGCCCGGTGATCACTTTTACAAAGTCCTTTGTTCCATAGGACACTGGTTAGCACACTGCTAGAGGCAAGCACTGTCTGTAGCATGGAATTTATGTTGCTGCACAAAATTGAAACAGATTGTGCATGAAGTTTTAAAAATTGACACTTTCCATTCTAAAATTGAAAGTCACTGTTTGCATCAGAAAAAGAATCTATGTCTGCCTTCTCGTTTTTCCTAAATCACCTCT